TTCAGCAGCGCTCTGTGCAGGTGTAAAACCTCATTTGTGTAGGATCAAGGCTTTCCGCATTAACAGAGGGGCCTAACTGTAGGTAACCAAATTGAAGTGTTCTTTATTTATATTTGAGTCCATTCATATTTTTCTGTAAAATATTTTATACCTATTTTCCGCTAAAAAAAACCCAAACAAAGCAGGCATTTATGTTTATGTACTTGAGTTAGACTGCAAGGTTTGTACGACTTCTGAAAGTGTTACTATTTGACTTTGCAGTGTTACTGTCAAAATATAATTTGTGAAGGCACCCACTTGGTAACAGATAAAGAATTAGTGTATTACGTGTACATTACAGTCATTGTAAAATCCTGGAGTTTTTGTGTGACCTTTGTCTAATGGTGTATTAATTACAAGAGAGATAATCCATTTAACAATAAGTATGGGATAACTAAATTAGCACAGGTCACCTAAAGGCCTTTTGTCAAATCTGATTGTTATGTTGTCCTTTTGACTTTTACCTTATGGTAGGCACTAACAAAGTATCTAAACTTTGATGGATTATAAACTCTAAACATGATATGTATTTTTCATAATGCTAATGTAATTTTCTAGGTACTGAAAAGGTCAAACCCCCACGTCTCTGTGTGCATTCTAAGTCTGTCTTTCCTTTTAATATTTCTTTTTCTCTGTTCCTCTGGTTCAAAAGTTCACTCGGTTCCCAAATGGCCACCTAATTTTCCAGTTATTCCCTCAAGCCATATGTGTTTTGGTTTCTTTATGGTTTATTAGGTACTGTAGGAAAGTAGCATAAGTTATATCATCTAATGAAATTCAAGCACACTTCAGTGATGCTTTGACTTGATTGCTGGCAGCAATTAAATCACAACGAAAGAGAATGATGCATAGGCTTACATGTCCAGACACCCTACAGAAATTGGAAGAGGGATAAAACACAACAAAAGCCCCAAATAAAATAACAAGTCCAAAAACAAGACAGGAAAAACAAAACAGCACTGCCAGGCACTCCATTCTTAACTTGATTTTTTTTTTTTTTTTTTTGTTATTGGCTAACAGCCTGATTGATAGCAAAATCATAACTTGCTGTATGCTAACAGGCAGAGTTCACTTGTAGGTTATTGTGAGCTGATAAAGGGTTAGATGGAGTTTTGATTTTCGCATTGGTCCTTGGTGCACCAGATTAATGGAATTTCAATGAGAGACTGGAGTAGTCACAGCTTTGTCAGAAAAACAGATGGAGATTCTATAGCTATGTCTGCTCATTAATACCAGTTGCCTGAAAGGTGTACTACTTCTCTATACAAAAGACTCAACATAATTGATTTTTGAGCGGGGTATTTTTTCACTTATTGATGACTAGGTTTCTTGCAACTTAAATGACAGGTTTTTGTATAGTACATTGTATAACAATGTTATGTCTTGTAAATTCTTGTTCCCCTTCCATCTGTATTTTGAAGAATGTGTGTAGTGGAAAATATATGTCTTGATCAGTTAAAACCCAAAGCATACCAAAATACCTAAAAATTGAAATAGTAAGACTTTCTGTAAACTTGGTAACAAATTTATTTTTGGTTGAGACATTAATGGGGAAAAAGTTACTATTTTTCATTTAATTTTCAGGTTTCTTAGAATGGTGTTAAATCTAGGTTCAATGCCATGCTGAAACTTTACTATTTAACAGTGTAATCTTACAAGGGATTTTTTTTTTTAACAGTAAATTTTTTTGTTTTATGGCATGGTAACTTGATTCCATAGGCGGAAATGCCATTAGTATTAAAGGAACAAACTTTCTGACTTTTTAAGTACTGTGAGTGAACCGATCACTTCTGAAGAAGGTATGTCTAGCTCTGCAGGGGTATGTGATTGGGTAATTACTGGATCTAAAAAGATCACGGTGAATGCTGCGATAAAGTAATTTAGAACATCATCATTTCTGTGGAAGGTCTAGAAATGCTGCCTTGAGCATGTAAGGACGAAAGTAGTACTAAAAATGTGTCTGGGGGCTTGTATGCGCTTCAAATTATCATATTTGGCTATAGCTTATGAATAAAATATGCTTTTTAGTAGAAAATTGTTAAATACAGTGAGAATCTCATACTAAAAATTCCCCACAGTTGAAATGGAGGAAGGTAGGGCCTAAGCAAGTAAAATAGGACATTTGGAGAACTTTGAGGAATGATAATAAATGAAGGGTTGTGCTTTAACTGTTTGTCATCAGAGTGTGGTCTTGAAAATGAGCAAAATTTGTTGCTCCCTGCAACATGCTTTTCTTGGTATAATTTTTGGACGTAACAACAGGTTTTAGCACTTCGTTTTCATGCAGGTCCTCTGGAAAAGCTCTATACAGTCTTTGCAGGCTTGGGTCAACTATTTTACATGATCTGTAGTATTTCCTTTGCATGAACATCACATTTTGCATTTTAATTGATCAAGTGAGAATGAAAAATTGGGTGCCTAAATTTTGCATGCTGATTCTTTTGACATTTTAAGTCTCAAATACAAGTACTGACTAAGCTTTTTTTTTTTCCTTTTTCTTTATTTGGTAGGCATAAAGGTTTGAATACTGTCACTGAAGAAGGCTAGAGTTCAGCATAAGACCTGATCTTTATGTACAATGCATATACAAGTATTTCCCCACTTTTTTCAACTGCATTCCTACTGAGCTTTTTTTGAGGCACTATAAAGCAAAAAAGGTGTTCCATCACTGAGCCAGTTAAGCAATATTAGCAACTAAGTTAGCAAAGGTTGGAGAATGGAAAATGCAGCTAGGATTTTTCTGTCCTCGTCTCTCCTTTTGCCCTTCCTACTCCCCCAGTCTTGTATCAGTTTACCACTATTTTAG